GCAGGATCTTGATACTACCTTTACTTAGAAGTGCCGCCGGCAGAAATCATTATCCAGTGGGTCAAAATCCACGGACAGAAAAGCGTGGAATCTGGACCATTGCCTTTGGCCGAATCCGGGGAAAACGCCTATATCTAACAACAAATAAACAAGCCCAGAACCGGTAGACGAAGGCTTTTTGGAAGCTGTAACATCATACAAACAATTGGTTAGACTGTGTAGCCAGCAATCGCCACCATCTCGCTTACCACCACTGTAGTACTCCAACAGCTCTTCCTCCCCAAGAAAAAAGTCGATGCCTTTTGTGCCGTTAGCATGTCCGCCAGGGCGAACGTACTTCCATCTCGGATCTAAGTCCTTCGCTCGCGGTCTTACAGATGTCCATCCCTGCTTCTTCAGCTCCTTCCACGCCACACCAAACGGGATGTTTTGACTGCTCACGTACTTGCCTCGGACAGCAACCATTTCATGCAGAGAGCCTGGCTCCGCTCTTTTCCAGCGCGAATTCTCGAATGAGTGGCTGGAGAGGGAGCGAAAAAATTACCTTTGGAAAATAATGTAAAACTCATGTTTACCACATAAACTTTTATATCTTATATTCAAATTTAGAGAAATATTATCTGTTTTGTCGCTTGTTATGTGTATCTTCTATGCTACCACACGTACAGAGAGCCTGCACTTGTAGGGTTCTTTTTGACTTATGTTTTGTATAGCCGAGAATTTGAAAAAAAGTAACTATACAAACTTTAAGTCATATTTGAGCTTAACCTGCATAATGCAGGTTAAGCATTTTTGAAAAGCTGCATATGCAGGCTCCCGGTTTGAAGGGGTTAAACGCTCCATTAAACCCATCTGTGGAACCTTACATTTCTTATAAATATACTACCTGTACTATTGACACTACACGGATATATGAATAAGATATTAAAGTGCACACGCTTTACTAGAGACTGTTCGCGCCATCATAGACGACGGATTCGGGTATGACGACTGGTGGGCTTTAGTTATTACTAGCCGCGAGTGCTATCAAATATACAGTAATTGTAAAGTATTACGAATTACTTCGTAGTCGAGTAGGCGGTATAGTTTTCAAATATTATTGTTTTCACTGGTCCCCGCCTCACCTACAATGACCGTCAACTACAATGTTGTTGTACTTTTTGTAATTCTTGCGATCTGTCACGGCTTGGATAGGGGGGGGCAACTTGCGTCCCTGCGAGTCACAACTTGTGACTCACTAGGACGGTCGTGTAAAATCGTAGATTCTTGCTACGCCTCATATCGCGAACCATATCCTGTTGCTCTCGGAAGTATACAGAATGTATACGACTGTCGTAACGAGGCTCCGAGACTAATCACAAGAGCAACCAGTTTAACCGATTTGACTGACAAATGAGCGATATGTGTATAAAATATATAATATCAATTACCATTTGTTTTTTGACTACATGTATGCCCTACACGCTTATTTTAACATTATAAAACCTAAACAAACGAGTCAGAGGAGATGACTCGCTTCGTAATGTTCTACCATTTTTGCAGCTAAGGTTTCTATCGAAGAGTGTCGAGCTAGTTAGATATGCTAACAGCGATGATGAGGACAGTGATGCCAAGTAATGCAGATGCAGACGCGTATCGATTTGAAGCGTAGCAACAATCTTCGGCCTCGACGTAGGCGGCTGGCTTGATACGCTTTGACCAAGTTACATGTCTTAAAGGTGGCACCTTTGCCTGTGACCTTTCTTCTGTAAGGAGTGGGGTACGCGTCCCGTACATGTACCACCATTCACAAAAGACTGAATCATCCAGTTAGGATATTTATTATGGAGGTGGCAATTTATTTGTAACACTTGTGCCATAAGTTGTGGGGTATGAGACAACAACAGCGCCGTTCGAGCTCCACTGGTCTCAAATTCATTCTAGAATCTGCTTCCGCGCGCGCAAATCAACAGCTACACTTGACTTTCTAGACTAAGCATGCGTGCTTTCTTCTCCCTACTAGTGGCTCTCTTTGCAAGTAGTGAAGCACGCTTGCTCGCGACGCAGTCTGACCAGCCCCAAAGCACTCCGCTGAATAAGAACGCTCAGCTCGGCTGTCGTGTCCTTCGGGCGGTCGACGATGTCAGTGACGAAGAGAGATCATGGGCCCGTATCAACAGCGTTGCCCTAACCAGGGCAGAAGCGAAGGTGTGGCTGCAGGACTGGGTTGATCAGAGGAAAAGCATGAAGTGCGTTGCCAAACAAATGGGCCTGTGCAATTTAAAGGAGGACGATTTGTTGAATCATATCAACTTTCCAGCCCTTCGCAAGTTTGTGAGAATGGATATTGAGAGAAGAACTGGTCGCAAGTTGCCGAAAGGTCAAGAGAATATTAGTTTCTTGGATACAGTGACCTGTTCTGCGAGCGATATCGTTCCCGTAGGCACAGGATCGAAAATTCTTAACGCAACACAACAGTTGCTTTTTCACCCCCATTTTTGGATATGCACTACTACAGAATACTATAATTTATTACGTGTTCGCGTAGCCACATTTACACCTGCGCTAGGCTCAGCTTTGCTAGCTGGTGGTATAATGTGGTGTCCGCGTCCGGTCTCTCTTCGCCGAAAATGAGGGTTCTAGAGCTTTCCATTTTGTTGAAGTAGCCTCTAAACAGTTTGATTACCTTGACCTAGTCACTCCAAAAAATTATAATGAGATTTAGGAGGTCCTGTTTAAGTCGGTATGACTGGCTTAAACTATACAGACACTAATGGCTGGTGTACAGCTATTGGTGGCTTCCTAATACTAATAAAGTACTCACTTCGTCTTTTGACGCCTACAAGTAACGTCTTCTTCCTCTCCCTACTTCTTCTCGACCTGTCATACGAGTTAAAGGTTATGAGCCCAAGCCAAGCCTCAAGCGACGACTCCCCACGTCTCATCGGCGCCGAGAATTTCGACGTCTGGAAGACCCGTGTGTGCGCAGCACTAGATGGCAAGCACCTACTCGGCTACGTGAAGCAGCCCGACTACGACGGTGTGTCGGAAGACGAGAGTGAAGACAGTGGCAGCGAAATGTCTGATGCCAACGATGAACCGCATGCCAAAACTACCAAGAACGTCGAAATCGACTCCGACGCTGTGGACTACGACGAGAGCGACGACAAGCTCAAGCCGCCCTCGGACTCGGACGAAGACTCTGGAGCCAGCTCCGATACGTCAAATAAGAGGAAGGACCTCCCGGTAGTTCGACCATTTAGCCATCGCGAGGCTCGCCGTGCACGCAAACGCGCCAAGAAAGAGAAGAGCCAGCCTCTTAGCCAGCGCGAACGCCGTCGACAAGAAGCCAAGACCAAAGCCTTCTTGATGAAAACGATGGACAACATGCACGTGCGGCTCGTCAAGAATCTCACGACATCCTTCGAGATTTTCAGCTACATCTGCCAGAAGTACGAGGGAGCAGCCTTTCATGGTGATCCGTACTTCATTCAACACTACTTGATGGAGATCAAGTATGAGGAAGGCTCCGACTTAACTGAGTTATTTCTCAAGCTTGAGAACGCGATGAAAGCCGCGTCAGAAGCCACCGAATCGGTGATGACCGAGGGACAGAAGTCTGTCTACCTGTTCCACTCGATGCCCAAGTCGTGCAAGGACGATCTCCGCATCTGGAAGGGCCAGCGGAAGTATATCCCGTATGAAGACCTCAAGCAGAGCATTGAAGGCAAGGTTCGCGATCTTCAAGCTCAAGAGCGCTACACCTTGGCCAAGGGCACACCAGAGTCCTCTGCAACCAAGGGTGAGAGAGCTCTAGTGGCTACCGGACCTCCTGTGTCACAAGCCCAAGGCCGTGACAGCGCCAATGTCTGTTCCTACTGTGATCGCCCACGCTACAACATTCGCCAATGCCGAGGCCTTCAAAAGGATTTGCGAGATGGACGAGTGAAGGCTGGGACAGTGCTACCTGCTAACTTCGCCTTCAAGGGTAACTCGAAACGCGATCACCCGTACCAGAACTCGAACAAAGGTGGCAATGGGCGACACGGCAAGAATAATAACAACCGCGACTTCAAGGGCAACAACAGTAGTAGCAAGAACAAGCACGGAAATGGCGGCAAACAACGCGGTCAAGATCGCTACAAGGACCGCCCGCTTGAGTCAGACAATGACGATGACGACGACAGTGATTCTGGAAACAACCGCAAGGTAACTCGCCAAGGACGTCGTGACACCGGTCTCATCGCTGTTGCTACCACAGTCAATCTCCCGTTTAGCCTCACTGCTCAAACCAAGATAGAACCCGATCCCACCTGGACAATCGACTCTGGCTGCACTCGACACGTCACCCATGAGTCTCAGTGGTTTACCGACATCACCTCCAGTGGTGGATCCATTACGGTTGGTGGTAATAACCAAATCCCCATCGAAGGCATTGGACGGGTTGATCTGGAAGTCACTGACTCCAAGGGCACTATGCAGAAGCTTATCCTTCATGGCGTCCTGTATGCTCCCCAGCTCCAATTCAGTTTGCTTTCAATTCCAGCAGCTGTGAAGCACGACTTTCGCTTCAACTTTGACCGCAAACAGTGCTCTATGCAAACTGACCAGCGCTTCAAGATCAAAGCGCTCATGGCTACCAACACGGATCTGTATCAGTTCCAAGCCAAACCAGCGGCACCTCCAGCGGCTCTTATTGCCTCAGGTAAGCAACGTTCCTTTCTGCTCTTACATAAACGCCTTGGACACCCTAACGTTCGTGTCTTGAATGACCTATCTAGGAGTCAGGCCATACATGGACTCGATGGATCTATACCTCGAGGTCCAAAGACAGATTTCTTTTGTGTTGCCTGCACGTTAGCGAAGTCACACCGCTCCCCATTTTACTCTAATAGAGTTGTTAAACGTGCTACATCACCTTTGTTAAAAGTCCATTCAGATATCTGTGGTCCACTACCTGTGCCTAGCCTTACTGGTTGTCGCTACTTCTTGATCTTCATCGATGACTTTTCTCGATTCATGTTCACTTATGCAATTAAGAACCGTAGCGAGTTGTATGGCTGTTACGAAGACTTCAGGAAGAAAGCCCTGAATATTTTCAGACAAGATATATCTGTCATAGAGTACGCGCTCAGTGTTGAAGACAATGCAAACCAGGGTAACTTTGAGATCCAGCGGCTTCAAGCAGACAACGCTAAAGAGTACGAGAAGCTTGCGCGCATCATATTATAAAAGTATGGAACTCACGCCCAGTTTACCAATGCATACACACCTCAGCAAAACGGAGTTGCAGAACGCCGCATGCGTACCATCATAGAGCGTGTCCGAGCCCTTCTACTTGACGGCAAGCTACCGAAGCAGTTATGGGCCGAGTGTATCTATCATGTGACCACTTTCATCAATATGACTCCTAGCTCCAACCGGATGGACGAACCCCGTATGAGCTTTGGCACAACCGTATTCCATCCATGCAGTACATCAAAGTATTCGGATGCAGCGGATATGTCCACATCACGGAGCAATACCGAGACAAACTCGACGCTAGAGCCCGTTTGTGTATGTATCTTGGTGTGCCTGACCATAAGAAAGGCTACCGTTTGATGGACATCAATACTCATGCAATTATCTACAGTCGTGATGTAGTCTTTAAAGAGGACGAATTTCCCTCTCTCACAGGCCTGACGTCTACTCCAGAGCCCACACAGTCCACGAATCGGCAGAAATCTACCTCTACACTTGCACCTGTACCTCTGCCACCTGCAACTGCTACTACAGAAGCACCGGAGCCTGAACATGTGTCAGAACCAGTGATCACACCGTCACCCACATCGGGCCCTGCAATGACAACAGCGCCAGGCACAGTGAACCAGCGTGTACTGCCCTCACTGAGGGAGGCTGTTGATCGAACAGCCCTACATTATTCTTTTCGAACAGAGACGGACTCTGATCCTCCGCATCATTCGACTCCTAAGCGACTTCGCCTCTCTGCGGAAGCCATTGATAGCTCTGAGGAAGCCAATGACGTAACCCTCAACTCTGAGGAAGACATACACGAACAGGAGCAGCGTCAGCATTTACTGTACACATTACTAGCTATTCGGTATGTGTCTGAGCCCACTACGTATCGGGGAGCAATGAAGTCTTCCCACGCTAACCAGTGGCGTAAAGCAGCTAAATCGGAATACAAGTCCCTCATGGACAATCACACTTGGGTGTTGGTATCCCCTCCTAAAGGAAGGAAGATTTTAAGTAGCCGATGGATCTTTGTAGTAAAGTATACCGGCACTGGCGAGATCGACCGCTTTAAAGCGCGTCTTGTGATCAAAGGATTCCTTTAGGAATATGGCATCGACTACAACGAGATATTCTCTCCTGTCATCAGGATGGAGGTATTTGACTACTTCTTTCTATTGCAGCTCTTCTCGACTTTGAAGTCCATCAAATGGATGTTAAGACAGCATTCCTTAATGGCTACTTGGAAGAGGAGATCTACATGGCTCAACCGGAAGGTTTCAAAATCCCGGGCAAGGAGCACCTAGTGTGTAAACTTCTTAAGAGCTTATATGGGCTTAAACAAGCGCCTCGTGTATGGTACCAAACCTTGTCTGCCTTCCTAGAGAATCTCGGGTTCCTGAAACTCATTAAAGATTGATGCGTATTTCGACGCACAGTTGCTGACATCACCTGTTACATTGCAGTGTACGTCGACGACTTACTGATCATTGCGCCTACACCAGCACTCGTCAGTGAGCTGAAATCAGCCTTGAAAAAGCGTTTCTCCATGCCAGATTTGGGGGAGGTGAAGTACTTACTCGGCTGGTCAATTCAACGTGACCGTAAAAACCGAACGATGTTTATCCACCAGCACAAGTACGCTACGAAGGTCATTGACCGCTTCAGCGACTACATTCCGTACCCTATTGCAACACCAGCAGAACGGAACGCTAAACTTTCCGTAAGCAGCCAGCCCAGCAGTGAGCAAGAGAAAGATGCGATGAAATCGATTCCGTATCGACAAGCTGTAGGTAGTGTCATGTATTTAATGGTAGGCACTCGACCCGATTTGGCATTCTACATGCGAGAGGTCAGCCAATTACTAGCGAATTCAGGTATGGATCACTGGAAAGCAGTCATTCGTGGTCTAAAGTACCTATCTGGAACGAAAGAATACGGTCTTCTTCTGGGAGGCTCGACCGATATTACATCGGAAAACCTTGCCGATCAGCTAATTGCCTACAGTGACTCTGACTACGCCAACTGCCCCGACTCGAGACGCTTCATTGGAGGATACGTGACAATGCTAGCTAGCGGTCCTATCTCATGGCTTTCGCGTAAGCATCATACTGTAGTTCTCTCTACAACAGAGGCAGAATATATCGCCCTGTGTCACTGCATGCAAGAGATGATATTCCTCAAACTTCTCCTCAACGAACTTGGCTTTGCTACAACGCAGGCTAACATAATATACGAGGATAATCAGAGCTGCATCAAAATCTGCTACAACCCCGAACTTCACGGACGATCAAAACATATACACGTACGATACTGTTTCGTGCAAGAAAAAGTAGAACGGCATGAATTTAACGTCACCTACTGCAATACGAAAGAGATGATAGCTGACATCTTCACTAAAG